TCCCCTTTTCTTAGCTTTTCAGGCTGAATGGAATGGGTTCCCCCCCCCATTTTGCCTCAATGCCATTCTCTGAAGCATCCAAGACAAAGGTGCCTAGGAATCAAGGTCTCCAGCTCTCTGAATTTCTCCCTAGCTTTGAATATATGCTGGATCGCGAGTAAATAGACTTCTCTCTCTCTCTCTCTCTCTCTCTCTCTCTCTCTCTCTCTCTCTCTCTCTCTCTCTCTCTCTCTCTCTCTCTCTCTCTCTCTCCCCCTCTCTCTCTCCCTCTCTCTCTCTCTCTCCCTCTCTCTCTCTCTCTCACACACACACACACACACACACACACATCATAATGCAACTGAATTTATATCCGCTGTCTCTGTATAGCTTTCTGAGATCCCAGCTCTCATATTCAGGGAGGGAAGACAGAGGTGGCTGCAACAGTTTTTGCATGGATGGATATATTTTTATCCACTACAACTGGAGATGAGGTGGGATCATGAAAATTCATTGCACCAAGGTCTCTGGTGTTGTTCAAGAGAGGAATATTCCTGAGATAAGGATTTGGAAATGCTTTCGCGCCATCTGGACACACTCGGCTTCTGACACAATGCTGCTCTAATGGCATGCTTGGGCTACAGGCCAGACAAACGCCTGTTCTGTTTCCCCACCTACCCACCCACCCACTGCCACCCATCAGCACCCCCCCTGCAGCCCCCCTGCCTGCCTGCCTACCGATAATGTGATTTTTTAATCCATCCACACCTCAAGGAACAGAAGGGAGCCCAGAAAAAGAGGCGGAAGGGAATGGAACAGGAGAGCAGATAAACATCTATTGTGTTGAGAAGCATCCTTGCAAAGGCAGATTGATCAGTTTAAAAAACTGCCACATCTGCTAACTGCCAGCTCCATTACATTGGAAGCTCTGCTTAAGAGGATAGAGGCCTCACTGAAATGTATTTCCACCACCACCACCCCAACCCCCCCCAACACTATTTATACTGCGTTTATTCACTCATGGTTTTACAGCCAGCCTATAAAACAGCTTATGGGGCAGCTCACCAAATTATAATGTCAATTCTTTTTTTTATCTACTTTTATAAGCTATTGATCTTGCAAAAGAAAGAGAGAAAAAGAAATAAAGAGTGAAAGAGAGGAGGAGGAGGAGGAGGAGGAGGAGGAGGAGGAGGAGGAGGAGGAGGAGGAGGAGAAGAAGGAGAAGGAGAAGGAATCAAAACATGGATTTCGGATGGGCAGTCCAGACAACAGAAGGAAAACCACAGCCAAAGGAAAACTCTCAGCAACATTTTAATTTAAGATGATCATTGGAAGCATTTGTAGCAATTGTTTGAATGAAGTCTCTGGAAAGCTTAGAGATCACTTTGAAGCCAGGTTGCAGTTTAGACAGTCTTGTGCTTTGGTTTATCCCTTCTTAACCAACCTCTATAAATACTCTTCCTATAATAGCCTAAATTCTATCCTTTCTATACATGTATGCAACATCTGTGCCTGGCGTTAATTTAACCACGGTTTATGGAATTTACTCATTTCTTAGGTTTGATCAACATACCAAACATACCAGGTAAATAGAGGGGCTGGGTTTGTACAGTCCTAAAGGTGGCTGAACTGGCTGTAGTTCACCCTAAGAGGTTGGCCAGATCAACAGAGAAAATGTCATTATTGGAGTCATGGGACCAAGAAAACTTTAACTGGGCACACAGATTCTGTTCTTTAATCATTCTGTTTCTATTCTCTTTAAAATAATTTATTTTCCTCGCTAAACCCTCCCTTTTTTTTAAAAAAAAAAAAGGATAGATCTACGGCTCTCTATCTGTGTTTTCCAGCTGTATTGAACAATATTCTCCTTAACTGGCAACTCATGTGGCTACTGGAGAATCGGCTGTCCCAACCATGAATAGAGAATTTAGCCCAACCAAATTTTGCCACCCTGCACCTCCTGCCATCCTTTGTCTCTACACCAATGCATTAAAGCAGGCAACTTCCAAACTTCCAGATCTTGAGGGGTCCTTGGTGCTCTCTGAGTTTGGTGGTTTTCTTGCGGACGTTTCATTACCAAACTAGGTAACGTCATCAGAGCACTGACAATATTTCTTAGTTTGGGAACGAAACGTCTGCCAAAAAACCACCAAGCTCAGAGGGCACCAAGGACCCCACAGGTCAACCCTGAGCTACAAATATTCCCTTCTATTACTTCCAGATATTGCTACATTTCAATGCTTAGAGACCCCCACCCAAAAATCAAACGCTGAATGGCACTACTGCAGGTGTTGTTGCTCAGCAGCACACGGTATGACTTTCCAAATTTGGAACACTGATGTTATTAAAAGCCATTCTCTCTGAATGCCATATCACCAGAGGGAGGGGGAAAAAAAGCCATTTAATGCCAAACAGAAAGCAAAAACCCCAAACCAATTCTCTAGTGCCTGCCATTTTGGAGGGGGGAGTTTACCATTGCTGTAAAATGGTTCTTTAAATAACGAAAGCGTTTGGACAGACCAGTGGTTCTCAACCTTTTTAATGCCGCGACCCCCAACCGGTCGTAAGTCAAGGACTACTCAACCAGTCGTAAGTCGAGGACTACTCAACTTGTGCAGCATCGTTTGCAGAAGGGGACTTTTGGTGGGCTCAGCAGGGCAGAGACAGCCTGGACAATTCCTATTGGCTTTTGAAAGCCAACAGAATTAGACTCTATTCAAGAGAGTCTATTCTATTGGCTTTCAAAAGCCAATAGAATAAAAGGGAGGAGCACAGCAAAGGAAAAGGGGGAAAAAATGGCGGACTGCGTTGTTTGGCGACCCCCGTGAAATGGTCGTTCGACCCCAAATGGGGTCCCGACCCACAGGTGGAGAACCACTGGGATAGACCTACTGGTTTAGGATAAGAGTCACGTGGTGAGTTCCTCTACACAATTCCCTTCTTCTTCTTGATCACACACAACTTAAAACACCCAGGATTTTTAGGCTCAAAGTGGCTTTATATGAAAATCTGCCCAGCTGATTAGAAATAAAAAAATGCTCCTGAAAAGCAAACATTGTTCAAACAGTGCCGTCTCTCCCTAAAGCACCATCATCTGCATCTCCCATAAAACTCCTCCTGTCCTTCCCCTCCACTCGAACAGAACAGCATCTAAAAATGACCCACTACAATCATATCATTGCAACAGTTCATTTAGTGACCATTCGTAGTTACAACCGTGCTGAAAAAAGAGACTTAAGACCATTTTTCACACTTACACCATTGTAGCATCCCCGGAATCACGTGATCAAAATTCAAATGCTGGGCAACTGGTTCATATTTATGACAGTTACAGCATCTCCCCGGGGGGGGGGCTCATGTGACCCCCTTTTACAACTTTCTGACAAGCAAAGTCAATGAGGTTATTAAATGAACAACTGCAGTGGTTCACTTAACAATTGTGATAAGAAAGGTCGTAAAAAGGGGGAAAATGTTTCACTTAGCAACATAAATTTGGGGAGCTCCGCTGTGGTCATAAATCAAGCTCTACCTCTGTTTACCTTTTATTATCAAAAGTATTAGAGGTTCTCCAACACTAGAGGAGTTTTAAAATCTTACAAAACTACATTTGTATTCATCTTTATAAAACGGGGACACGTATAAGGCATTGTTGTATAGTTAAAGAAAATGTTGATTAAGTTTGCGTAGCCATGTACTGACACTGTAGGTTATTTTTCAATACTGCTAAGAGACCAAGTGTTGTTTCCCAAAAATAAACTTAAAAAAAAAAACAAAAAACAAACAAACAAACAGCTGGATTTCCCAACCACCTGCTTATAAGTGTTTCCTCTCTGTTAAGTAATTTGAGACTGTCGTCCCCTCCTGTATCCCAGTAAGTCTGTGATTTTTAGCAGTTTTTCTGTCTTTGGTTACTCATTTTAAGGTATCCATCGTGGGAAGAAACCAAGCTGAAAATGGAGTTTTATATGGTTGAAAGGCAGAACAAATAATTATTCTTTGTCATCAAGAGACTTTCTTCTCTTTAGGAAGAAAAAAGATGAAGCATATGGAACAATAGCAATGAAATTTTAATTCACGCTGAAGTAATGAGCTGCTATATTAGCTTTTTTTTCTGATCCATTGATATTCGGTAGTGTTTATTTGTTTGTTTGTTTGTTTTTTTTGTTGTTTTGTTTTGTTTTTTGCTGCCTGCCACCCTGAATATCTTAATGTAGGGAAGGATTAGGATGGAAATGATAAATCAATGTAACATAAATAGGGTGGGCACTTGTAAAAGCCTAACAAAGAAACAGGTGGGTTTCTACATTGCCCACACAACATTGTGAAGAAAGTAATATCCAATAATATAGATTATAAATTTCATACAAGAGACTGCCTTTCCTATGGGTGTGTTTGTGTTCGTGTGTATGTGTGTGTGCATCATTGGGGTGGGAAGTGTTTTAATAATTATTTCAGATTGGCAAAAAGAAAAATAAAATAAACACTCCTCTTACAAGATTGTTCATTTTTTCCCCCCGGGGCCAAAAATTACAAAGCTTATGTTGCCCCCTCTCTGATCAGATTTTGTTTGTGGGGTGTATATCATCCCCATTTATCTAATTTCCTTTATCTACATGTCATTAGTGGTTTGGGTTTGCCTAAATGCAAACAAAACGCATTTCTTTCTGCTCCACTCCCTTATAGCCTCCCATTTATTCTCTTGCTCTCCCCCCCCCCAAAAAGAAATATTCTCTCTGCACCCTCAATTTGGATTACAGGGATGTGTGGCGCAGGCATTGCACAAAATGTACCGCAAGTACAAGCTGGGAAGCATGTCTTGTGCAATTAATAACATGAACAGGCATTGGGTTTTTCTTCCTGGAAGGAAGGAGGGGCACCGGGAAAAGTGGGACGTGCCAGCCTGGCCCTATTGTTCTGCCTTTGGGTTGTTAATTAGCAAGATGAAGGGGGGGGGGGAAAGAGGAGAGGGCGGGCTCAGAGGAAGTTGCACGGTAACAAATTCAGCCGCCGTGGCAACCTACCTCATGTCAATGCGGCCATCTTACAAACAGCATGTGACTCTGTCAAAATGGCTTCCTGGCATCGAATGGGGTGAACTGAAGGAGTGGAGAAGTGGTCCTTCCTGCCTGCTTCTTCTCTCCCCCGCCTCTTGTCTCTCTCATGCACATTGCCTCCTTCTGTGCTTGTTCTCTGAGGGTACCACACAGGCACCGATGTGTTTGAGGAGTGGAGAGGCACGCTGAAGAGGAAGAAGTAGGGCAAGGGAATTAAGCCAGAGAGAGAGAGAGAGAGAGAGAGAGAGGGAAGGAGGGAGGAGAGAGAGAGAGAGAGAGAGAGAGAGATGGAGAGAGAGAGAGAGACACCCCATGGCCCTCCATCCATTGTCGTGGCTGTTCCTGCCGAAGAACACATTTTCTTATCACAGCAGCAGAATGTCACACAGCCTCTGTGCAGGAGACAATAAGGCAGAGTTTCATTACTCACAGTATGATACATGGGCATAATGCCATGGTTACATGCAAGAAGACAAAAAAAAAAACCCACCAGAGAGATAATCCCTATGAACTGATGCATCCACTTTGCCCTTTTGCACAGCTACTCTGTTTGGGGGAAATAGGATAGGTTCTAGTTTTATATTAGGGGAGTAAAGGAGAGAGATTTTTTTCCTCCTATTATATTTTTTTCCCATGTATATCTGTATCACAACTTTACTTGCACAAAAAGAGCCAATCATTAAGCAAAAGGTGAGATGTTTCTTTTGTAAACATCGATCATTCTGACCTTTCCTGGGTTGACTTGTAAAAAATCAAATTTTGGAAACTTTAGGGCAGGGATAGGCAGCCTTGGCTCAGAAATTCTGGGAGTTGAAGTCCATGAGTCATAAAAGAGCTAAGGTTGCCTGCCCCTGCTTTAGGGCAACAACTTTCTTTCTCTGGGAGCTCTCCTAGGTACTGAATCCTCCCATGCTTGCTCTCTGCTGTTTTGAATATAGAAGTCTATTATGGATAAGCGTAGCCTGCCCTTGCCAAGAAACTCAGCTTGGTCAGACTAGGTTAGACAACTTGTTTGCTCTTGGAGGTTTTTTTTTTAAAATAATAATAATAATAATAATAATTTGGTCACATGTTTAAGATGGCAAGTCTACCATGCTTCTATGAGTTGAAGCATGAACCCATCTGCCACCAAGATAATTGGCACTTTGTTCCTAGCTATTCACAACTCACTAATTGGGTGAGAGTTAACCTTTGCTACCTATCTTGCTGAATTCAATAGGAACCAAACATCAGCCCTCCCACTGCCAATGTGGTTGATCAGAAGACCCCATTTGTACCACACTGTTTAAATGAATAGTAGAAAATGAGAGTAAATGCAGATTTTGGGGGGATGGCAAGATGACAATTCAATGGTAAATTTACAGGGGAAAGTGCCAAAATAGTGTTATGGATGTTCTATGCTCATCCAAGGATAGGCAGGCAATAGCCTTGCAAAATTTATACATACATTTTTAATACGTGCAAAAATTGGATGCATATATATATTTGGATTTGTAAATGTTTCACAGTTGCGACTTGAGCCTGCTTAACGCCCCTAGTTGTGGGGCTGCAAGGCAAAAGAGATTGTAACTAGGAATAAGATACAGTGATCCAATTTACACATGCCACCAGGAAATAAACTATGGTTTTGAAACCATAATGCCAGCCTTCACACATCATGATGTCACAAAACCAAAATAACCATAGCTTGCTTTAGCACAGGGTTTAAACAAGGCCGGTGCCAAAGACAAGCTGGGAATGATCTAATTCAGATTAAAACACTGTTATATGTACATTTTTCCTCATCATTTTAACTGCTCACAGTATTATCTATTAATCCAATATTTCTCTTTCATTTTTTGAGAAAGGAAGAATAATATTCCTCTGTTCTGCCTCTGTTCTCATCCATTTATTACATTTTTTTCCTTCCGTACGTAGATTTTTCTATTTACTCTTTATTTTCCCCCTTCGTAACAATCTTGTGAAGCTGCTTGGGTTGAGAAAATTCAGATTTAAACTCCACATCTCAGGGAGGCTGTCACATACCTGATGGGTGATTTGAGTATTTTATCCACAAGTGGGCATAAAAGAAAAATGGATGACATGTGCAGGAATTAAAACCCTTTGTTTAAATTGAGGTGGGCATCTTGAAGTCCCAGAACAACATTTGAGATGGGAAACAAAACAAAACAAAACAAAAAGCCTTCTGAGTGACATCAGCACAAAATTATGTCTATCATTTTAAAAGATAAACGGGGCAATCCCCAAATATAGGGAGAAAAATCAGTTGATTCTGATTCTGCCCTCATTGCACCATTCAACCTAGCAAAACATAATTGAGTCTACTTTGGCCATTAAGAGACTGCCCCCAACCTTGACAGAGGACAACATTTTTGTATCTTGCTAAATCACTCTTTCATTCAAGAAAGAGGTATTGAACAACATTCGCAAAGCCAAATACTGTCGTGGAGAAGGGCAAAGCATAGGAGTCTATTCCTAATCATAATTAAACACCTCTGCTAAACACCCACCTCCCACAGCACTGTCTATGCCTAAGGATATTTACCCATGTAGTAGGCAGTATTGCTATTATCCTTGTCATCTTATCTTTCCCATTTCTTATCTCCTCTTCTTGCTCACCTCTCATATTTCCCACTACCTGTTCCTATTGGTATTTTATGATCTATCAGTTGTTGTTTGTATCTTATGACTTATTGTTCTATTCTATTCTATTCTATTCTATTCTATTCTATTCTATTCTATTCTATTCTATTCTACAGTCTGTATATTCTGCATTCTATTCTATTCTATTCTAATTCTAATCTAGTTTTGTTCTGTTCTGTTCTAATTCTGTTCTCATCTATTCTATTCTGTTCTGTCCTAATTTTAATTCTAATCTTATTCTATTCTGTTTTATCATGGTTCTATTCTATTATGTTCGGTTCGGTTCTGTTCTAATTCTAATCTAGTTCTGTTCTATTCTGTTCTATTCTAGTTCTAATCTAATTCTGTTCTATTCTATTCTAGTATGTTCTGTTCTAATTCTAATCTAGTTCTGTTCTAATTCTATTCTATTCTGTTCTAATTCTAATCTAGTTCTGTTCTGTTCTAATTCTGTTCTGTTCTATTCTATTCTTATCATGATTTTAATCTAGTCTTGTCTAGTTTAGTCTGGTCCAGTGACACTAAAACAGAAAAATATGTGTTGTGTCACAATGTCAGTTCCAACCTGTTGTACTCATTCCATGATGATGCTCACCAGTATATAAGATGAGGGATTTGAATCCAGATGCCCCAACACACGTTTTGCTGCTAGCTCTCCCTTGTTCCCTTCCTACAGAGGCCTAAGGAATAAAGTAATAATTGCTTCCTTAGCAAATTCCTGATTCATTTTTTTCTTTTTAGAGCTTTTATAGGTTTCTTAACGTAAGAGGAGGTTATCTCCTTATCCAATTTACAGTCTAATGTTGCAGAAAGAGTCCAGAAAGAGTTTCTTGTGACTGTAGAAATTTATTTTAAACTTATCTTGATCGTTTTGTGAGCTAGCAGAATTCAGCTCTGAACAAACTAGTGGGAACATCAGCGCAAGTCTTCTGCAGTCTCCCACACAAAGCAACCTTGCATGTTGCAAGCTAGCAAGCCCATATCTCCTTGACATTCTCACTTACCCATAAATTAAGAAGAACGCAAAGGAGGAATGAGGGGGGAAAAAAGAAAAGAGGGGAAAAAAAGGTCTCTAAAAATGAGCATTTTCTGAGTTGGTCCCATTTTGTACCCCAAGCACACCCGTGAAACCATCTTCATCATCTTCACCATCATCATTGCCTCTTTAATTCCCACCCCCTTTCTTTTCTCCAGCTGAGTTTATGCCCCTGCTAGAAGTCCTTTTGTTTTCCATCAATGAGGGCAAAGTGGGGGGGGAATCATCAGGAGGGGAGAAAAAATAATTTAGTTTGCTAATAGGCAACGGATGGTGGGAAACAAGGGAGAGACCATGGAGCAGAGAAGGTGGAGGGACGGGAAAAGTGCTCACAGTTGAGGCTTAGCAAAGGCCTACACAAAGCCACCATTCATAAAGTCCAGGGCCAGAGACTTGCACTGAATTAAACAGACACAAAGACCAAAAGACTTTTTTTTTTTTTTATCCTCTCCCTGTTTCTGTGTCCCGTGAGAATGATCATATGTCCCTGGCATTAGAAAGCCTTCCACATAGGAGGAAGTGTGTGTGTGTGTGTGTGTGCGCGCACGCGCGCGTGCGTGTGTGTGTGTGTATAAACTGTGGTCGAAAATATAGAAGGTCCCCACCCCCACCCCATTCCTGGGATTCATGTATGGGAGAAGTACCATATGGTTTCTAAGCAAGTCATCTGCTTTCACGCAGGTTTGAAAACTTTGCTTGTCGGAATCTGTCCACGCACACACCTGAGGTCGCATTCAGCATGCTTGGTCTAGCCAAGGATCCTTGACCTCCGGCACTATGGCACTCATGTAAAAACAAGCACAATCACCCTTGGCATTTGGAAAGCTTGCAAAGCAATTGCCGGTGTTGGTACTTGCACCTATGCACGCTCACGTGCCCACCGAGAGGGGGGTTCAGGAAGGTGGGAGAGGTTGGCAAAGAAGACAGACGTAACACCCACCGTTCAATCATAAGAATGAATGAATCATCATGCAAATTTTGGCAAGCCATTTCTTTTTTTGGATGTTTGGTTAAATATCTTTACTGGCTGCCTATAGGACTTTATCTGTATCTGGACTCTGCCTCAAATGTTTCGAGGAGGAGGAGGAGGTGGAGGAGGAGGAGGAGGAGGAGGAGCAGGAGGAGGAGGACACACATTTTAAGGCAAGCATGCATACATGCTGGAAAACATTCAACTGGGCTGTGTTCCACATTTGTATAGCTGAACGTTTCCTACCTGAATATTTATACCAAAGTGTTTTTCCTAAAGAAAAACCCTCATCCATTCAGAGAAATTACAGTAAAGAGGCAATGTCTATTGTTCAACTTGAAGAGGAACTTTAATTAGTGCCATGCAGAAAAATATCTTGCGGTGTTGTTGTTGTTGTTGTTTTTTAGCCTACCGTTTTTTACTCAGTTTTCTGAAAGAGAATTTGCCTTTGAAAAGGAAAATTTACTTCAAAAAAAAAGGAGGAGGAGGAGAAGAGAAGAAGAAGGAGAAGGAGAAGGAGAAGGAGAAGGAGAAGGAGAAGGAGAAGAAGAAGAAGAAGAAGAAGAAGAAGAAGAAGAAGAAGAAGAAGAAGAAGAAGAAGAAGAAGAAGAAGAAGAAGAAGGAAGAACAGAAGAGGAGGAGAAGAAAGAAGAGAAGAAAATAATAAGAATAATAATATTAATATTAAGAAGAAGAAGAAAAAGAAGAAGAGAAGAAGAAGAAGAAGAAGAAGAAGAAGAAGAAGAAGAAGAAGAAGAAGAAGAAGAAGAAGAAGAAGAAGAAGAAGAAGAAGAAGAAGAAGAAGAAGAAGAAGAAGAAGAAGAAGGAAGAAAACTTTAGTAGGATTCTCCTGGCTGGAGTTTGCTAGATTCTCGTGCTTATTTGATTAAAAAGGTTGCTGAACAGTTGGCATTCATGTCTCCTCTGTGACTCTTTCTCTGTTCAATCTAAGGATCTCCAACCCCTTTGGCTTCTTGTAGACCTTTTTTACTTCCAAAGGAAGACAACAGACAGGAACTCCCCACAAGGGGGGGGGCGACACTGCCAAATTGGGGAATATGAACAACAAGAGAAGTTGCAGAAGGATGGAAAGACCTGTTCCAGAAAGGGACCTTAAATTATCATCTGCTAATTGTAGCTAGCAAATAAGTTCAAGAGACAGCCCCCGCCCCACCTCCATCCCCAAAATACCTTACACTTGGAGAATAAGATGGAAAAATAGAGAAGCGATTTTCAAAGAAGAAATAAACTTTTGAGAAATTGCAAGGCAACCTCTTGGGCATCTAAATCTTGGGCATAAAACTGTTTTCCATGACAGCTTCCTACTTTCAACTACCGTTCTGAAGGGGAGAGAGTCTTAAAAAGCTCTGCAAGAAAGGTGTGATGACACTGCCCAGCTATTAAGCTATTCCATTTTCCATTTTGGTTTTTTGTTTTGTCTTTCAAAAAGGAAAAACAAAACAGGCAAATCACAAGTGGAAGAAAACAACTGCCTTCCTCAAATTCAGAGAATAAGGCAGGAAAATTGCATGATAAAAAAAAAATCTCATTTGGACCTTAAAAAGCTTGGAGCCCTCTTAACTAGGAAGCATGTTCTAATCAATGTACGCCTTTGATTTTAAATTCATTTATGTTGCTCAGCTCCCAAGATTTACAAACCTTAGAATCCCAGAGAGTGCCCATCCCCAAATTCAAATGAGAACTCCAAAAAGCTTTTGATCGAGTAAGATAGCATAGCAAGGTGTTTACAGAAGTACGGAATCAGCAATCGCCCTTAGTTTTCGAAGAAACTCAAAACTATTGGATTGAATTACAGGAAACAGACAAAATTTGTTTTCAAAAAAAGTTCCATACAAACAGGAATGAAGCAAAACCCCCACCAGGAAAAGAGAAACCTAGTATTAATCTCTTACACGAGGGTCACAGTTTTGTTTTTAAGGCTTTAAAAATCTGTTAAAGATCCCTAATTCAGTCCCTTGTAACTCCAGACAGGCCTAGCACTGATGATGTTTGGGTAATGAAACATCTGTGAGGAAATAACTAAGTTCAAAAAGCACCAAGGACCCATCATTTCAACATATATTCTCCTTTATTGAGAATAGGAGTGCATGAAATTACCTTGGTTTGCCCAGCATGCTGCTTCATTGTAGCTTTAGCTTAGAATCATAGGGCTGGATGGGACCTATGGGGTCTTCTAGTCCCACCCTCTGCCCAAGGCTTCCTCCAAGAAGAAAAAAGAAGAGAGGCCTGGCTTTTGCAGGGCTGAACGAAGCCAGCAAGCCACATAGAGACCCGGTTTCACTGGTAGAAGTGACCATCTGAATTCATGTTCCAAATCAGATTTGGTCATTCTGAAATTCAAAGTGACCTGATTTGACACCTGAAAGCTGAGCCACATGGAATCTCCATGAAAAAATGTCCCACCAAGGAACACTTGTTGGTCCAAAATATGCTTCTTTTCCCACCAAAGCCATTTGGATGTCAGAAGGGAGTAGCACAGCTAAGGAAAAGGGGGGGAAAAATGGCGGACTGCGTTGTTTGGCGACCCCCGTGAAATGGTCGTTCGACCCCAAATGGGGTCCCGACCCACAGGTGGAGAACCACTGCTCTATCAGAATAGGAAACCATTTTGGCCTCTGTTACTATCTTCTCTTTCTTCTCTTTGTCAAGTTCATGGGGTTTCTCCCCCCCCACACACACACACCATATATTCCTCTGGATTCAGAGAGAAAAGTATTTACCAAGGGCTGTGAGCTCTGATGGAGAAATAAACCTTCGATTGTCTAAAACAAGACACCTCCCAATTCAGAGATTTATTTCAAAGCATCCCCATCCATATTCCCAGCTGCAAATTGACCACATAATTTCATCCCGTCCAGCACAGCAGTTTCAATAAGGCGGTTGCTGTAATTCCATTCGACATGCAGCTAGTCCTCAACATACAGCAGTTTGTTTAGTGACCGTTGAAAATAGTGACTTAGGACCGTTGGTCACACTTAGGACTGTCGCAACATCCCTATGGTCACATGATTGACGTCTGGAGGCTTTGACAACTGACTCACATTTATGACGGTCGCCGCAGTCCCAGAGTCACGCAATCCTCCTTTCGCAACCTTCTGACAAACAAAGTCAATGGGGGAAGCCCGATTCACTTCCCAACCGTGTCACTAACTTAACAAATGCAGGGATTCACTTAAGAACGGTGACAAGAAAGGTCGTAAAATGGGCCAAATCTCACTTAGCAATGGAATTTTTGGTCATAAGTCAAGGATGATCTCTATATATGAAGAAATGCTTAGCTGAAATCCGTGAGGGTCACCTCTATTGCCTTCTCTGTTTGAAAACTTAAGGCAGTGGTTCTCAACCTGTGGGTCGGGACCCCATTTGGGGTCGAACGACCATTTCACGGGGGTCGCCAAACAACGCAGTCAGCCATTTTTTCCCCCTTTTCCTTAGCTGTGCTACTCCCTTTTATTCTATTGGCTTTTGAAAGCCAATAGAATAGACTCTCTTGAATAGAGTCTAATTCTATTGGCTTTCAAAAGCCAATAGGAATTGTCCAGGCTGTCTCTGTCTGCTGAGCCCGCCAAAAGCCCCAGTCTGCAAACAGTGCTGCACCAGTTGAGTAGTCCTCGACTTACGACCGGTTGAGTAGTCCTCGACTTACGATCGGT